GGGGCTTGGCACCTTTCTCAGCACAGCATGCCCATATTGCTTCTCTCTCCTGATTCTGCCCTTCTTACCCCACCCCACCCACCCACCCCCGCCCCCGCAGTCTCAGTTTGGGGTAAAGAAATAGTCTACAAAAACTGAAGCCAAGAGATGTGCAAAAGATTGTCAAAAGTCATTAACAGAACCACGATCAGAACGCAAATGAGTGTATACCTAGTTCTTCTGAGACTTAAATATGCCTTACTCTCTTGGTTTCCATCTGGTATTCTGACAAATAAATGAACAGAAGGTGCCCTGGTGACTTGAATAGCATGGGCAGGGCAATTTTTTAAAAAAAGTGAAATCAGAGGGCTGGAGAGATGGCTCAGAGGTTAAGAGTACTGACTGCTCTTCCAGAGGTCCTGAGTTCAATTCCCAGCAACCACATGGTGGCTCACAACCATCTGTAATGAGTTCTGGTGCCCTCTTCTGGCATACAAACATACATGGAAGGAATGTTGTGTACATAATAAATAAATAAATCGCTTTAAAAAAAGTGAAATTAAAAAGAAGATCTGAGAAATATTAGAGTTTTGCTCAACAGGAACTAAACACTAAGAAGATTCCAGAATGCTTGTTAGTAATTTACAGCCTTAATGTTGAGTATTAAGAATGTGAGAAAACACTATGATCTGAATAGTTTGTAGATCTGAATAAGGCACTGTCTATTGGAACAGCACTGTAATGGTTTTGACTTCTTGGGAACCTGTATTTACACAAGTGGGACATACTGATAGTCAAATAAACGGTACCTGAGGTTGTGTGTACATACCTGTATACATGGACACATGTGTAAATCACTACTTGCTCTTTCTCCTCCCCAAGTGTCATGGATGTGCTGTGCCTGTGTGTGGATGCATGCTTTTTCATGTGTGGTCACACATGGCAGTGGGGGTGTACATGTGTGTGCAAGTATAGCCGGAGGACAGAATCATTCTTCATTTCTCTTCCATCTTACTCACTGAGACAGGTCTCTCAAGCAAGCCCAGAACTCACTGATATGGGTAGTCTCACTAGCCAGCTCGCTCTGGGGATTCTGTCTTCACCTTCTGAGACTGGAATTACAAGCAGCCTGCCACACCCACCCAGCATTCACACAGGTTTCTGGGATCCAAACCCTGGCCCTCATGCTTATGTAGTTTGTACTTAATCACTTGAGCCACCTTCCCAACCCCACTGCTTGTTCTTAAATAGGTCTATGGAAACACGAGGCTCTTAGTTTTCTAGCACAACACATCATGGGATCAACTCCAGCATCTCTGGCTCATACATCCCAATGGCTTAGAGGGTATGTGGACATTTTTCATGCAAATGCAAGGCCTCCAGATGTAGAGGTAAGGTCTGCACTTTGATGAAGGTACAAGCGACTCCAAAGCACAATCAAAGCTGAGATCTACTGCTTCCCTGGAGACTTGAAGTCTCACTTGGAGGCGCAGCTGTCCTAGACAATTCAAGTTATCCAATTCTTTTCCCAAGGGTGTGTTTATTCAACCAAGACCCTCTGACCCTGCTATCTACAGTCTGGCATTCTCTTGTTCTAGAATTACACCTGTGCAGCTGACACTGAGCATCCCTCCCAGTAGCTTCCAGAGCAGGAGAAATAACAATTACAATTGTATACAAGCATAGATCCCGGTTCTCTGCACTTTTAGTTGGTCACCAAGACCCAGTGGACCTCAATCAACTAAAAACACACACAAACAAAACCACTAAAGACAGGCAAGGCTGCACAATGTCACTTCCCCTTAGCAGCACCCAACAGGCATGCAACCCAGCAGCAGCTGCCTCTGGGTCTAGTCTACAGGTTATTAGACATGAAACGAAATGCAAGCTTATTAGGAGGCTAACCTTGCTTCCGATCTTTTGTTAAGAAAGTCACACACAATGTTTAGCTCCTTCGCCAGTAATTATTGGCAGATTACTTCAAGGCAACTCACAACTGGCAAGACCTGCTAGTGAACAGGGACCTGTGATTAAGAACTGTTTGCTTAACTGCTTACTAACAGTCTTAAGCTGCTCTTAAGAATGGACACAGTAGAAAAGGTTGAGAAACCGTAGCTGTTGAGAAAGTATCAGCAGGCACAGACTCAAAGTCTTTAAAGACTACATTGTTGCATTTTCTGGAGTCGGTTATCATCTGTGAGGATATTCACAAATCTGGGGCTCTGGGGCTGGAGTTGGGCTCAGTGGTTTGGAGTACTCCTGTTCTGGCAGAGCACTGCAGTTCAGTTCGCAGCCTCCACCCGGCTGCCCACAACTATCTGGACCTCCGCAGGGCTTCCTCACCTACATGGAAACCAAAGTACTCACATCACTACAGACAACTTCTAGGCTCCCTAATCTCATTCCCCTCTACAGTGTTTCCTGGTTCTCCTCCTCCCTCAGGCAGAGCCCTGTCAACCTCCTCTGCAGGCTAGCCTGTCCCACCATGCCAGCCATGACAAGTTCCTTCGAGGTGCTCATAAATACATGAACTACTAAACTGGTGAATTCTGTGAACATCGATGAACCACACAGCTGTCCACAGTTACAGGCGGATGGCCGTTCAGGCTCCCCATCACCAAGAGAAGTCAGGCGTGTACACATCTTCCCCAGCTCAGCTCTTCCTAGTGCTCCATTCTCTTTTTGTTTGGGGTTTAGGAATTTGGGTAGATGTTGATTAGGTCTCTTGGGGTGGATGAGAATGAAAATTCAAAAAAAAAAATCTTCCTTTACAGCTTTAATAAAATTCATTCATGGTTCAGCTTTTACTTCCATAATGGCCAAATTTGAACGTTGTTATAAAAATGCAAAACTTCCCAGAGAGAAAAAGGAAACAGATTCTCTCCAGAGTCACTAGAAGAACAAAGCCCCCATGACACGCTGACTGTAGGACCCCTGAACTCCCAAACCATAAGACAATCAAATTGCATTACATTCAGTCCCTAGAAAACATTACATTCAGTAAACAGTTACAGAGACAAAACTGTTCAGTTTTGATTTAATTTTGAAGGTTCAATGCTAAGATATGAGCGGCCGGAAGAGCAACTTCTCCTATTCTTTTACACACAGTGCATTCCTACTCATCAAACGTATGAGGATCTGGCTAGAGAGACAGCTTGGGAGATCGAGAGAGGACATGCTACACAAGCTCAAAGACCTGAATTTGGATCTCCAACATGCGTGCAAAAGCTGGATCATATTTTTGCATATCTGCAGCACATGCACATATGCCCATACAAACATACAGACAGTTAAAAACAAAATCCTTTCAAAAATATAAAACTATTATGCTGCTATGAAAGGGCTCTCTGTCTGAGAGGGTCCTGGAACCTCAAATTTATAACTTTGCAGCAAATCCATCCTTATCCTGGGACCTGCTTCCATGTACATTTGGGAAAAGGACAAACCTCTGGTTCCATGGAGTATGTGTGGAGACATGCTATCCCAGAGCATGGTTGGGGTGAGCAAGAAGGAAATGGAGCCCTGGTTCAACAAGCAGTCCATTAATGTACCAATGTCAATACATCCAGATCCTGGCTTTGTTCCCATGCGTCGTTTCCCAAAAGATGAAAACGGCCTTGTTTTATGAACTGCTTCTAAGGAACAGTTTGCTCTGAACAGTCATTTACTTGTCTTTCCATGTTTCTGGGCATCACAAAAGGCAAACACCACAATGGCTGAATTGCCTCTATGAGTTCAGCTTTCAAAGAGGCAAGAGATGGAAACCTACTTATGTTACTACTTTGTATGACACATCTGTTTGAGAAGGGAGCTATCAATTCTAAATAGATGGCCAATAATCCTTGCAGATTTAAGGACAAGACAGGGAGAAGGAGTTTGTCATTAAAATGACCACCAGAGCAAAGGAACACAGCCAGGACTGTCTTGGTCCCTGGGCACAAACATCACCCTACTATGCTTCCAGTCAAGGCCCTCTGCAGAAAGTGCTCCATCATTTGGTTCTATCTGCAGATCTACAGTAAGGATCCTTGTTCACCAAGTTTCCAGTGCACCTCACCAATGAATGGTACCCTCCCATACAGTTAAGCAAAGACAAGAGAGAAGTGTGACTAGGCTTGAACTTCAAATTTATCCAAATTTGCTGTTGTTTTGAGACCCAGTGGCTCATATGGCTTGGGCTAGCCACAAAATCAGTAGGAACTCAAGGATGATCTGATCTTCCCACCTCCACCTTCTAAGTGCTAAAGTTACAGGCAAGCACCAAACACCAAGCTTTATACCACACTAGGGATTAAATTTAAATGCACCAAACTTTACAAGACAAGGTACATCATAAACCCAATTGTTGGATCCTACATGACTTAGATGCTAAAATCTATAGTATATATTATCTCTGAGTTGTGGTAATATCACATCTTAGAGATGGAAAGAACCAATTAAGATAAGGGCAGAATCCCACCATGGGCAAAGACATAAAACTAAAAATGAATCCAGCAGTAGAGTCTCTACACAGTAGGTTCTTTAGGTGCAAACATAGAATATGCAAACCAATATCTGTAAAGCAAGAGCAAACAAACCATCTGGTCTTTTTGCCCATGTCTGAAACTGGGCATTACACCTGGAGTCGATGCTTGCACCTGGAGTCTATGCTTGATCCTGGAGTCCTGCCTTGTACCTGGAGACCTGCCTTGCACCTGGACTCCATGCTTGCTCCTGGAGTCCTGCCTTGCACCTGGACTCCAAGCTTGCACCTGGAGACCTGCCTTACACCTGGACTCCATGCTTGCTCCTGGAGTCCTGCCTTGCACCTGGACTCCAAGCTTGCACCTGGACACCTGCCTTACACCTGGACTCCATGCTTGCACCTGGAGATCTGCCTTACACACCTGAAGTCCTGCCTTGTACTTGGAGTCCAGCCTTGCACATGGAATTCTGACTCTAGAACAACCTTTGACCCTGGTTGACCTGGCAACAACTGAAAACAAAACAGCATACAGCATGTGCCCTCTGGCGTCCTCAATAACGATCTTTGGCTTCATCACAAGTCAACCAGGAAGTTCAAGAGAATCAAGGCCAAGATCTGGATGCTCCTATATGGTGATGTACACGGAATGGGGGGGGGGGGGGACACGACACACGACATGGACCTACCATTAGCTAGGGATTTTTTTTCCAGAGTCACTGACTGACTTTGGCTATTTGACAGAAATAAACATTTATTCTTATTACATTTCTAGAAGCTGTGGCCTCTGGAATCCTGCTTACCCTGCCTATGTAAACTTGGGTTAGATAGTCAAATGTCTCATATCTCAGGATGAACCTGGGTCAGAATAACAAGAAGAATTTCTTACATACAGCAACTGGCAATGGCTGACTCCCGTGGGATGGAAGAAGATATTATGACCTCCTAGTAATGTCTACCATGGAAGTAAGACAGAAGTTGATAGTATGACCTCCTAGTAATGTCTACCATGAAGTAAGACAGAAGTTGATAGCACAGTTCTGTTCTTTCTGTCCTTGATCCTAACCTGATTACATTGTCTAATTGCATTATATATGCACATATATATATATTTGTAACCATATACAAATATATACCATATGCAATTAACTTTCTCTGATTAACATGTAAAAATAAAAGTCAGTATTACCAACAGTTCCCACCTAAATTGTAGCCAAACTGTTAAATTCTAAGAACAAAAAAATAATATTTATTAAGAGTAACAAGTATGACTTCAATCTAAGCCCAACCAAAGGCATCTGCTAGAAAGTTCAAAAGATTCAGGCCATCCCAGTGGGGACCTTTCTTCCCTGCATCCTCAGGATCACTTAAGTCTCTCCCCTGGCTTCTGCAGGTCATACCTGGAAGAAGGAGACAGGAGAGAAGGCCACCTACAGAACACTATTTACTGGTCAACAAACTGTGAAAGATTTACAAGGTCTCAATCACCTCATGGCCACCGTATTCTAAGGCTCCACGGGAAAATGGTTAAGGATGATGCACCTAACTCTCAGCTTCCCTTCTGCATCCACAGTGTCATCAAGGAACTGATGAATGACACACTAAACTAGATATGCAGCAAATGAGACCAGGAAGATGGGAAGAGGCAAAGGCTTTAGCTATACAAACCTGAGGACTCCACGTCTACCCCAAAACCCATGTAAAAAGCCAGACATGATGGCACACATCTGTAAACCTAGCAATCCTGCATCGAGATGAAAGGCAGGGACGGAATCACCCAGAAGTTCATGGGCTAGCTAACTCAGAGTGCACCAGAGTATTCATGTTTTATCATAGAGAAAAAAAGCAAATATAAATCAGCATGAAAAAGACCCAACAAATGCACAGACCAACATGAAACACAAATGACTCCAACATAAAGACACTCATCACACACGGCAAAGACATGAGAGACACCACTTTCATCATGCAGATGAGAAATTACCAACCATGACAGCACACCATGTAGCTGAGGGTCAGGGAAAACAGGAGCTCTCATACTCTCAATTAAATTGATGAATCTTCTCTGAGAGCAATGTAGAATATCAAATTAGAGATGAGCAAGGTTCACAATGAGACGTTTGAAGAATCTGTGCCTGTGTCAAACAAACATGAGGAACTCTCAGGATGAACATATGTGCGCTCGCCAACAGCATCATATAAAATGATGAAAGAGAGACCTAACTGTCAGCAAGGTGCCAGTTACAACATACAGCAGAATACTGTAGCACTACACAGTACAAGTCTAAGAAAGAAGAGGTCAGTTGTAGCATTCATGAGCTTCAGGCCAGCAATGCTCTCTTTTAGACTCTGCACACACATGCACACACAAACCCACTAAACGTAAATAATTTTTAAATTTTAAATAAAGAGCAAGACTTGTCTATCTAATATGGCATAAAATTATTTACAAGGGTACGGTTTGTATAGTGCGGAGCATCTGTATGGGCAACATAAAGAAGGAGGTGGAGCATACAGTGTGAGCAAGTGCTCACTAAGAGCGCTGATTTTCAGGAATAAACTTGGTTTCCAGAGGACATGGGCGGGAGGAAACACTTCTCACAACATGACCCTTCTACTGTTTGAAATTCTTACCCTGTGTGAGTCTTAGCTTTCTGACAATTAGAAGTGTATTAGGAAGAAGGGGCGTGGGGTAGAGAGGAGGTTCAAACAAACATGAGACTGGAGCTTGGTTCCAAGACCCACTCAATAAGTCAGGCTTATTCTCCGTAAACCCACCTCCATGTGGGTGTGTGGAGACAGGAGGATTGCTGAGACTTCCTGATTTCTGCCTAACAAAGAAAAACTGAGCTCTGCGTTCAGGGAGAGACCCTGCTATTGTGAGATATTTGTTGTGATTGGTGTGATAAAAAGTCAATAGCTAGGCCGGAGGTATAGGTGGGACTCCGGGGCAAAGAGAAAACTCTGGGAAGAAGATAGAGTGGAAAGAAACAGAGAGAGGCAACAGCAGGTGCAAGATGGGAGAGAGGTAACGTCATGTGATAGGGCATAGAGTAATGTATATGGGTTAAGTTATAAGAGCTAGTTGAGACAAGTCTAAGCTAAAGGCCAACTTTTCATAATTAATAATAAGTCTCCATGTCATTATTTGGGAGCTGGCAGCCAATGAAAAAGCTTATTACACCCTACCTCAAAGGAATAGGAAGAAAAGATAGAGGAGGATACCCAACACTAACCTGGGTTCTGCCTTCCTACAAGTGTGTGCACCCACACATACACATGCGAAATACACTCAAATATACGAAATACAAATAAGAACTACATAAATCTTTAAGTGCAAAATGAAATTTCAAAGATGGAAAAAGAGAATTTATGAATTTCTGAATCTAAAATTAGAGAAGAGGAAGAGACAGGTAACCTACATCATTCGAGCTTCAGATGAATGACTACGGTCAGCACCAGATATAAAAAGTGGCCCTTTATATCAAATCAGGGGCCTTATGTGCAAAGTACATTTAGGGGCAAAGGCAGGAGGCAATACCTCATCTAAAAACGGAAGCACGATCCACCCATGAGAACCCCTGAAGCAACAGTTAGCAAGTCAGTCCAAGCAAGAGGCTTAAACACAAAGCTCAAATGCCTGAGAAATGACTAGAACTATATAGTCTATGCCCCGGAAGCTCAACTGGGAGTGGTCCTCTGGCTCAGGGATTTGTCCTCTGGGTCTCCATGGGACCTATCAAATGGTCAACGCTTATGGAATTGTTCCTTCTGGTGTGAACACATAAACACATTAGTCCAGAGGGCTTCGACAGCCTTGCAAATGATTTAATAAAGACAATAGGATGAGAAGCTGAAGGGAAAGGAGCTCCTGTGTCCAACGTCTCCCAGGTCCCAGCCTCAGAACAAAGTGTAGGGCGGGAGCTATGGCAGGCTGTGGTCTTCTTCCTACAACCACTACTGATTGTCAAGGTGACAACTCACCTAGTTATGGGGAGACTTGGCTCCCTGCCTCAACCCCTGTATCTGGGCTCAAGACCTGTCCGCATGACTACCTGAAAATGGAACTTGGGTGCCGTGGGCTGTGGCCTGTTTGGAAAATAGTCTCAATACAACTACAAGGAGCCTCGTATATGCCTGACTGTCAAGGGCTCCCTGTAGCTCCATAGAACAAAGCAAACAGTCCCTTCTGCCAGCTATAAGGGGGATTTTATGGAGTCAGCAAGCAGTTTTCACAAGAAGCACAACTACTCCCTACATATGCAGTGTAGGGCAAAAGGCACAGAAGCTTACATTAATAGTGGCCAAATTTTGAAACGAGTCTTGGTAATCTATCTATCACAGAGTAAAAGCTCCATAAAGCCTACAAGCAGTCTTTAGCCTTCAAGAACCCAATCTCCCAAAACACTGGAGAATCCACTGCTCATTTCCAAGGTGCCCAATGGCAGAGTCTCAAAGCGATGTCCTGTTAAGTCCTACCCCAACAGCCGCATGGCTGCACTGTGGCCCAGCGCTGCTCCTCAGTAAGCAGCAGAGGAGTGGGATGGAGGGATGACTGAGCCAAACGGAGCATGAACTGCTTTGCAGAGGACCTGAGTTTGGTCTCCAGACCTATTTCAGGTGGCTCACAACTGCCTGTAACTCCAGCTCCAGGAAATCCAATGTCCTCTTCTGACCTCAGTAGGCACCTGCGTTCATATAAGCCCGCACTTACACAGGCACAGGCACAGGCACAGGCACAGGCACACGCGCACACACACACACACACACACACACACAGAGACAGATAGATATTGTTTGAACTAATTGTTGGGTCTTGTACCAGGTGTGCTGGTACACGCTGTTAATCCCAGTACTCAAGAAGCAGAAATGGATCTCTGTGAATTCAAGGCCAGCCTGCTCTCCAGAGTGATTTTGAGGGTAGTCAGGACTTCATATTATGTCCCAGTCTCAAAAATAAATAAAAATAAACAGCAGATAAATGGACACAAATATTTATTAAGTGTGTTCATCTTCGTGAAAGTCTTCAGGAATGTTACCTAAGAAGAAGCAGTACACATCTTCCCATTTCTAAAAGGCAAGATGGCCAATACAGCTCAGGTATTGTAGCCCTCCACAACTGAGAACAAAGTGCAGAGAGACTCAGCGAATGATTTTTCCTGCTGCCGTACCAACTGACAACCAGGAGTTAAACACGTTCCCTAAAACGTGCATGTTGGAAAGAATCCCATGCCAATAGTGTAGGGAGGTGTGGAGGTCAAGGCATGGCCGCACTAGGAATGTGCTATTCTGTCCTGCCCTTCCGTCCTGGAAGAGGCAGTAAGAAGGCCCCACAAGAAGCCACTGCCTTCATTGTGTACACCCAGCATCCAGAACTGGGAGAAATAAATTTCTGTTCTTTCCAAGCTACCCAGACTCACATATTCTCTCAGAGTGTCATCAAACAGACTGCAACAATCTTTTTTATCTCCCTGACAATAGAGGATTACTTTCCCTTAGTGCTGGCTTAATTCCTTTCCAGAAATAAAATAAATAAATAAATTATATATATATATATATATATATATATATATATCAACAAATACAATTTAGTAATAAGAAAGTGAAAAAGTGAAACTGTATTTACCAAAGAAAGATAACCCAGTTGTTTTTACATCCAGGTTATGAACCACACGGCATCCCATACCTAAAGAGCAATGTGAAATAAGGGATAAGTCTGGACACACTTACAATCAGCACTTCTGTTCTGAGCATTGGATTCAGTTCAGAAGGGCAGAGAACATGATCATCAAGATTAAACAGAGGCACAGAACTAAACAAACACAAATGTCTGGTCTTTCATTATTTAGAAGGTTCTCTTTTACTTCTAAATATTTATTTATTTGAGGAATGGCTGCAACATTTTCCAGTCTTCCCTCCACTATTTTTTCCAATGGAGAAAGCTAGACAAGTTCGTATTGCTATGCTCTTAGGATTCCTTCAGTATCTGAATATGAGGCACCAATCTCAAGTAAAGCACTTGTCAGTGTTTAGTTTCCAAATTCCAGGGTCTGAGTTGACATGTGCATAGCCCTTCCAGGCAGAAACCCCAAGGAACCAGATAAACAACGATTATATTTGCAGATTCCCAACCTCAGAGGGCTTGCGCTAGTGTCCTGAGGGACATGACACATGTTTTAGTTGACTAATTATGTAATTATCTACTCTCAAGTTTATTATGTCATTGATGCGTAGGCAAATAACATTCACAAATATGTAGAGGAGGATGCTGGGCCTTCATTAAGTGTTTATCCCTAGGGCAGTGCTGTTCTAATCTCAGATCTGAAAACCTAACATTATTGAGCTAGTGGTTTTTGCTTGTGTTTTGTTTTACGTTCATTGTTCATTTAAATACAGAGGCATAATGTCATTTGGTGGTCAATGAATGGACCACATACACAACAGTGCCTCTGAGACTATATCACCCATGATACTGAAGTTACTTTAGATTATACAGTAAGTTCACTGTGATACCTGAACCAAATCACCTAGTGATGTATCTTTCAGAGTGCACCTCTGTGGCTCAGTGACACACAACTGTGCACACAGACATATGCACACCTCTGTGGCTCAGTGACACACAACTATGCACACAGACATATGCACACTAATCAGTCAATTCCTCTTCTTCAAGAAAAGCAGCATGCACATTATTACATGACCCAAAAGGCCCATGACAAGTCTCAAGGATGCACCTGAGCCTTCTGAGGCCTACAAAGGTAGGGCCACCTGCTAAGTCCCCCCTTCCGCTTCACTCGTGGGTCTGGGTCTCAAGGGCCACCCTAAAGCTATCATCTCTCAATGAGACAGTTCAGACGAAATCTTTTCTTTTTCCTTTCTCACTTCCTCCTCTCACATCATGCCAGACTCCCAGACCAACCGCGGCCTGTGACTGCTGAACCTCGTTCGTCATCCAGCGGCCATTGGAGCAGCTGGCCCCTTTTCATCTTCCTACAACACCTTGAGATTGTCCCTCTAACCCGCTGTGTGTTTGTAAATAATACACCGCGTTTCATGCCCTGCTCGGGACCTACACAGACTTCGGGTATGACGCAGGCCACCAGCAGATATCAGTAAATATTTATTGGTTCATCTGAGTCTCAAGCAGTGGAGATGGGACGTGCCCAGAATACATCCAATTTCCTGTAGTGCGGAAGCCACTTGGTACCCAGAAAAGCGGATGCAAATCATTAACTCACAAGCACTGTCTTGTTTGCTA